TATTATATAATGTTTTCTTTTTCTTTAATAATAATTTCCTCCGTGAAAAGTTGTAGACAATAAACTAGTCACGTTTGGGACTGGGTATAAATACATTTATCTTTTTCCTTGAAAAACAGCTGTATGATGTACTGAACTCAAGGTTAACAGTTATTTTCTCTCAGGATGATTTCACTATCTAGTAGCATTCATGTGTAAGAACTCAGCTATCATTGATAGGTAGCCAGTCATCATTCACAGGTTAACTCTTTTTCCCTATTTTAAAAATATTCTTCTGTTCTTTGGTTTTCCTCAGTTTCACTATGATAAATATAGGTGTAAATATAGGTTTCTTTAAATATACCTTGCCTGGGATTTACTAGGCTTCTTAACTGTAGAGAATGGTGAATTCCATCAGTTCTAGGAAATTCTCAGTATCTGTTTTGCACTTCTCTCTTCTGAATTTTATATAATAGTATTTTACAACTTGTCATGGCATATACCTTGACTACTTTTCAAAAAATATTTTTTACTTCTGTTTCTTTCTGTGGGAAACTCCAAGTAACCTCTTCGAATATCTTTCAGATCACCAATTTTCTAATCTAATCACCTGTTTTGCCTAACCTTTGAATTTTTCATCATTGTGTTTTTCATTTTACATAGCTCTGCCTGGTAATTTTGACAGTCTTTTGTTCCTTCAACATACTTATTAGGGAATAATGCATATTAAAAATGCTAATTTTTTCAGTATCTTAGAATTTCTATATCTACAGTGTTTACAGATCTGATTCTATAGTTTGTTCTTTCTATGAAGTTCTTAAGATGGCTTATTTGTGTGTCTCGTGAAAACCATCTTCCTTGGAACTGCATGAGAATTTTTTGAAAGCTGTTCATAAAGTGCAGAAAGAATCTGAGTTTCCTTCTGGCAGATCTCTGGAGGTACTGCCAGGATAAGACAATTTTAAATTAGATTTTTGGATGGGGTTTTAGAAGCTACACAGATAATATTAATGCTAACCCAAAGTCCAGATAACGACTGGCCTATGGCTAAAAAATTCCAACATGGATTCTGTTCCTTTTTCTGAGCTTCCCAGAGCCAAAGCTATGCTAATCAAGTTCTCCCAATACCTCCTGCTATTCAGGTTAGTGTTTTTTTCATTTATCCAATAAGGTGGTCAAATTTTAAAGATTCCTAGTGATATGTAAATGTACCTTATGTGACTTTCCAACTGGCAGGATGCAGAATTTATCTTTTGTTTTCAGTTCATAGTCTCAAAATTGAAGCTCCAGGCCATAATTGAAAAGCAGTTCCCCCACCCTCCAGCACAATGCTGGCGTTGGCTTATTAGTTTGGATTTTTTGTATCAGCCTCAAATAATTTCTGTAACTCAGTTATCAGATTATTTATCTATATAAAATATTTTCTTCATCTCTTTTAGTTGTTATAGTTCACTATATCTCTAGAAACCAAAGGATTTTTTAAATCATATTAATGTGCTTCTAGATACCAGTAATGTCTATTTCTCCTTTAGCTTCTAAATGCTAACCTGATTGACAGAGGTCCTGTTTTCTCCTTAAGGTGAAAATGTAAGAACATAAGGAGTATCTTCCCCAAAATTATTATCCTTAGTAAAAGACAGAGTACCTTGGAAGTAACAAGGAACCTTGACTAAGGCAGGACAGATGCTGAGAGAAGAGAATAAAATATATATATATATATATAATTTTTTTTTCTCTTTCTGCTGCCTTATCACAGAAAAGATTCTGAGCAGCATATCACTTAGATGTGCTTCTGGTGGTTTCCATCAATATAAATTCATGGCCTGATTAAAAGTTAAAGTAGAGCCATGTACTCCAAAATACATCCACTTTCAGTCAGAGGAAGGAGAAAAAAAACTAAGGTTAAGGAAAAAATGCTCTTTAAAATGATATGCCATATTCTTATATTTATTCATTCATGCATTCATTGATATTTACCTAGCACTTACTACATTTGGGGCATTATTCTAGGTGCTGGAAATACAACAGTAAACAAAGACTACATGAATGATGATACATGAATGACCAAAAAAAAGGTTTAAAAAAGTGTATATGATGGCTCTCTGAAAATAAGAAAATACTACATACGTATCATTTGTTATTCTTGTGTACCACAATTATGACAGCTGCTTTTCCCTCCTCACAGGAGAAAATATGTCTTAATGGACTTGGAATTTTCAAAGCAATTTTTACTGGCAAAGTTTCTTGCTTCATAACATTTTCAAAATTCTCTTAATCTAAAATTCGACACTTCTCAACTCTCATTCAGTCACAAATACAGAAGAAAAACTCTATAATTCACATTGGCCTTTCCAACGAATCAATTGATTTAGCCAGTATAGTGATCTAATTCAACTTCTATTTTCTCCACTCATAAATTTCAGGTCTCATACCCATACCCAGCCAAGGGCCAGAATGAAAAATTTAACAACAGCTACAGCATGGTTGTTGAGTAAGCACTCTGATACATTTCCACACTATAAACATTTAATGAGACTTGCTCCCAACAGAGTGTTTACAACATCAATTTACTTCATAGTATTATATTTGCAGGAGCAAAATAGAGCAAAGGTTATTTTGGGTCCTTTACCAATACAGCTTCCTGTAAATAATGAAAAGTGCAACCATTTAATTTACCAAATCATTAAAAAAGGTTAAATGCTCAATAAATTCTGCTTTATCTAGCTCAGACAGCCACAGCAGCGATTTGTAACTTGGATATAAAAAATATAGAAAACTTAAACATTTTTATACTAGTTTGCACATCCGTATTTTTGATTGGAACTAAATTTCAAAGGTTGTTCAGACAGTTTAGAATCCTCAATAGGATCTCAGAGAAATATCTTTTGGACCCCTTCCCACCTCATGCAGAAGAAGTGAGTGTGCCTTTCCTGAGAAAGAGAACACTCTATTGTCATGCTTATGCTGACTCCCATCAAAGTTACACACATACATACACGCACACACACAACACACACACACTTTCTCCTCCTCTCCAACCACTGCCATTTTGTGCCTGTAGCAGTCACTTTCAACTAAAGTGAGAAAAAAGAAGAGGTCTCAGATGGAGGAACAATTTGGAAATGTCTTCTGTAATCCTAAAATATAGAACACATTGTCTGAGATAAGCTGGAGCTCTTATGGGAGCATTCTTTGACAGAACTTTGTTTAGTACTGTGAAAAATTTGCTATACAGGTTGAGTGTTGCTAATCTAAAAATCTGAAATTCAAAATGCTCCAAAATCCAATACTTTTTGAATGGCAATGTGATGGCACAATGGGAAAATTCAGTACCTAACTTCAAATCTTTTGTCAGTTAAATCCTTATAAGTAGGTCACAGTTAAAACAGTCAAAACTTCATTTCAGGCACTAAATTATTTAAAATGTTGTGTAAAACTACCTTTGGGCTATGTGTATTGGATGTATATGAAATATAAATGAATTTCATGTTTCACATCAATCCCATTCCCAAGATAACTCACTAGGTATATGCAAATATTCCAAAATCCAAAAAATTCCAAAATCCAAACCACTTCTGGTCCCAAGCATTTCAGATAAGGAATATACAACCTGTCTGACCCTATCCACCTACTCCAGCAAATTTTAACATACTATACTTGACACTTCCCAAATACAGATGACAGATGGTCACCGACTTGACTTAGCAATGGTTCAACTTATAATTTTTTCTAGCTTTGTCATGGTGCAAAAATGACACATATTCAGTATCTATGTATAGTGTTGCAGGCCCCTAAAGGTCATACCCTTCCCAGGGTAGGGTAACCTGCATCCAGTGACTGAAAGAGACATACAGGCCTGGCCATTTCTGCCTGACAAGGAACACTCTGGAAGGCAATGCTCTCACCAGAGCTCCCTGCTGATTGGCCTAGGCTGTGTGGGTCTAGCTCTCAGGTAGACTTCTTCCATCCAGTCCTGCTCCCTCCCTCTTTCCTTCCCAAATGTAATATCTTGTTTTCCAAATTTCATTCTCTGTGTGATTCTGGAAAACCCAGCCCACAACACTAGCCATGACTCCTTCCTTTCTCTCACGTCCCACATGCAATCTGTAAAAATTCAGTTGATGCTATTTACAAAATTTAGCACTGATGTCCACTAACACCGCCCTAGTCAAAACTAAACCATGAGGTGGTTCATGTAAAGTGTACAAATGGAACCTGTGTTACTACAATAGCCTCTGGCCTAGTGTTTCAGTTCCTCCAATTGCTCTCCTTCAGTCGATGTTCCTTCACAAGTCTTAGCAGGTCACACCTTTGCTTACAACCTTATAGTGTATTCCCATGTAACTTGGCGTAAAAGCCAAAGTCCTTAAAGGCATACACAGTCCTCATTGGTTGGTTCTCTCACGTTAGCTCCTGCTACTCATCACCTTGCTCTCTCCACCCAGACATCCTGGTTTTTATGTTGTCACTTAAACACGGGGCACATACCTTCAAGCCTTTGCTCTAGATCTTCATCTGCCTGATTCCTGAACTCTTTCAAGGCCTTGGCAATACCTCACCTTCTCAATGTAACATACTATACAAGTCAGTTCTCTACAATGTTTATTGGTTTTATTTTTGTCTATAATAACCAGCTAAAATGTAAAAACTTGTCAATGGCAGTGATCAGATATGTCCCAAGCACATAAAACAGTAATGCCAATAAGTATTTCAGGACCAAATAAATCTTATGCTCGTAAGTTGATCTACATAAAACAACCTCACCATTTCAATCTAATTAACAATTCCACTTCAGATTCATTGGTTTCCTTGGCAGAGATGTACCAGAATAAGAGGTATACTAACAGAGTATTTTCCTGTTAATCAATTCTTTGAAAGACTCAAGGTGAAAGAGACTAATCTGGATTTTTTATTTTCTCATGCTCTAAACTCCAACATGTTGATCTTCTTCTGTTTTATTATTATTATTATTACTATTGTATTGGGACATCAAATCACACTTTAACTTTCTCCTGACTTACCTCCAGCTCATCAAGGGCACTTCCCAGGGTTGCTGCCTGAGGTTCTGGTAGGGCTGTCATATTCTGGATGCCTTGTGAAGCATTTGAAATTACATTGAGAGCATTCTGAATTTCTTCACAAACTGTGTCCTTGCTTGCTTTGAGGGAAGCAACATCAGAATGCTCCAAACAAGCTGAACAAATTGAATGCAAGAGGGGAGAGTTCTCCTTCAATGAGGCTCGAGCTCCTGCAATTTCATCCCTCTGGTTTGGAGATTTTAAGTCCTGAGAAGAAAAATGACAAGAGTGGCATCTTACAATGGGTTATGGAAGAAATACTTAAATAAAAAGCTTCATTTTTTAGTAAGTGTAAATGAAAAGATAATAGACACCAAGAAGTCGGCTCTAAGTTATAATCAAGGGCATCTATTATTTCTACATTCCTTCAGATTCTGTTAAAAATTCTACAGTATAAAAGATGACACAGTTAACAAGTAAAGGTCCCAATAGTGCAGATGTGTAAAGATCTACTATTCAGTCAAATCTTCTGTCAGTTAAATCCTTATAAGTAGCTAAAATACTCTGGCATTCGAATTATTAAGTGTATTATAAGAGCTTGAATTACAAGGATGCTGATTACCTCTTTCCACAGATGTTGATAATTACATTAACCTTTTCATTAAAATTAAACTAATTAAGAACAATTAAATGAAACCTCCCATCATTCAGCTATTTTTCTTTTGTTTTTCAGAAACACTGACAAATTAATCCCATATTATTTTTTCTTTGACATTTATTCAACAATTAGTTACTAAGCATTTAGCATATTCTAGCCCTTGTGCTAGACTCCAGTGTACAGATGTGAAAAATCCTACAAAGACCTTGTTTTTCTTTCTTTTAGGGGGAAAGGACCTATAGACAAATAATAAACTATATAAACAAATACACAAGATGATTTCAGGTGACAATAAATAAAGAAAACACAAAAGTGAGTATCATAGACACTGACTTGAAAGGAGAAACCTGCTTTAGGTTGAATGGTCAGAGAAGGTTTTCCTGCAGAGATGACAATTTGCAGTATATATAAAGGAACAGCATTACATTGGAGGGAAGAGAAGAAAGAGAATGTCCTATCTAGTTGGCAGGTGATCAGAACTAGCTCAACATACAAGGAAAAAATCTGGCAAGGGCTTAATCAAGTGATGAGGGTTAACATCATCAGTAATATCACATGGATATCATGTACCCCTTGACATACTGTGACAAGAAAAGTATGCCATTTCTGTGGTATTCTCTACAGAAACTCATAACTCCAGTCTAAGCATGAAAAAAGAAACAAACAAATGAAATTGGTGAACTTCCTAAATAATATCTGGGCAGTATTCCTCAAGACCATTAACATCATGAAAAACAGGAGATTGATTGACAAACTGTCACAGAACAGAGAAGTTTGGGCAGACATACCAAATGCAATGTGGTACTGAGGATTAGATCCTGGAACTGAAAAAGGGTTCATAAAAAATGGGTGAAACCCAAAAACCATTATTAATAGCTAATAGCAATTCAATGGTATCCATTTCTTCATAGTGGAAAATGTAAGATACAGTATTAACAATGGAGAAAACTGAAAAAAAAGATAAATGGGAACTCTCTGTACCACCTTTGCAACTTTTCTGTAAATCCAAAATTATTCCTAAATTAAAACTTCAGTTTAAAAAAAAAGCTAACTCAAGGGACATTTACAATAGTTTTTGTACTTCATATACAATATCTCATGTAATCTTCATAAAAACTCATGAGATGTCATTATTCCCATTTTAAAACTCAGAAAACTAAGGTTTCAAAAACGAAGTTTCTTAGCCAAATGGCAGAACTAGATGGTGGTATTTCTTGTATTGTAACCCAAATCAGTATAACGTATAAGCTCTTATCCTAAAAAATATGTGATATTCTTCCCTACATAGGAAAAATTTCTTATGTGCTACACAGAATGAGGACTTGTATTTGTATAATATCATGTAGCTTACAAAGTGCTTCTATATAGTGTCTTATTGATCATCACAATACTCTGAGGGAATGAGGCTGCTATTATTAGTCCCATTTTAACTAAACAGGTGTTTGGTGTAAAGAGATAGAAACTAGTAAAAGAATTGAGATCTAAATTTAACTCTACTGATTGCAAACGTTATGCTTTGTTCGCAAGGATCTGCTACTCTGGGAATTATATTGCCTGAGGTTAATAAATGCCTTGTGCTACTGTATTTTTAGTTCCTTCCCTTCTGAAAATAAAGGTTGTCTGCTACTTCACACAGACTTTGGAGAGATTAGCTTCATTACAAAATATAGGGAGGACAGTTAGAAGTAGCTGTCTACCCACTGTTCATACTCACTCATTACCCAAGAAAAGACATTCTGTGGTTTGCTTGGTTTGCTACAACTTCCCCCTCTGTATATATGGTCTGGGTTTTAGTTTCAGCTCTGTCATTAGCCCTATGAGATGGGTAAGTCATATCCGCGTTCAGTGTCTTTCTATCTGTAAAAATGGGATAATGATACTTCTGCCAACCTTCTCACAAGATTGAGTACATAGCACATCAGAAATGGAATATAAGTGGAAAATAGAACAAAAGTTATAGAAAGAATATGGAATTGATTTATTCCTTACATTTGTCAAACTGGATGTACTGTTTTTGTACTGTGATAATCTTACTGATTTTTGTATTTCCCACAATGTTACAAACTCCACCTGCAGTCATCAGTGTAACTTAGAGGATAAATCATTTAATATTTGGAAAGGATGTTTAGCTCCTCAGATGAATAATAATTAAAAGTATAAATATTCAGAAAGAGCTAAAGCAAATTCTCTAACATTATTGTATAATCACAACTTAATACATAATTTCCTCTGAAGTGACCTATACATTATGCTTCTTTATTTAGAATGACAGTGTCAAAATTTAGGTTGTTTCTGAAAGGTAAAAAACTTGAACATAGATTATAACTAAGAAGGCTAAAATTAAAATTATTTCTTTTGCTCTGATGGTGGCAGTGTATAATCTGATGGTAAATTGTGGTAACTTTAATGCGTGGGGACTTTGAAATGTTAAAAATACAAATGTATTTTGACTTTGGAGCCTATGCTTTTTCATCTCTGCCCAAGGCAATTACAGAATCCATAATGAGCCCAAATAGCAAATCCTTTAAACCTGCAAAAAAGGACTAGATCAGTGAGCATAACAAAAGTAACATTACAGCAGTGGACAGGAGAAAAGGGGCAGGTTGCAGAGTTTATGTAAGGAAAATTTACAAGGCATGACCATTTCTCCCAAAGAATATCATGTATGATAAATTTAATGTAGTAAATAGGCATATAGATGAAAGAGAAATTAGTGACTGTCACCTCCTAAACGTATGTGTGGTAGTGGTGTTCGTGGTTGTTTTAACTGATGATACTGTAGGTTCAAAGGTTCATAGGTTCTTCATTTATCCTAAAATTTTACACCAGGTCAATATAGGAATTAAACAGTAAAGTTAATCAGGGATTTCTTTGGATGGAGAAGTATAAAGAAATCAGCTCCTCAAGGATTGATACTTATTTAAAATCTTTTTTTAAATGCTCCAGAAGAAAGCTCACAGGAGATTTCCAAGTTAAGAAGACATTAAATGTTTCCAGCTGACGAAGAAACACACAGATGGGATTTAAAAAGACCTTACAAGTCTGTGCAAGTGGGTAGAGAAGTAACATGTGAGTTTTAACCCTGGCAAGAGAACAAAATATATTTAGGAATATTATTTTAAAAAATAAAAATGGAGGACTTTAAACTGTCAGTTAATTAATTCAACCATTTGTTCAACCTCTACTATGTTGAGCCTCTCCTGTGCGGATCCTCAACGTTCCATCAATGCAGTGTGCTAAATGTTGGAAGTGCAAAGATAAAGATCAGGAGTGAAGACAAATAAACACATTTATATTGGAACTAAAATAGAGTTACTGACAGCACAGAGGACAGTTTCTCAGCCTGAAAATTTATCAGAGAAGGTGAATCTTTTTTCCAGCTTTACTGAGGTATAATTAACAAAAAATGTATATATTCAAGGTGTACAACATGATGCTTTCATATACCTATACATATACATTGTGTAATGATTACTACACTCAAATTAATTAATATATCCATCCACACTGTTGCCCCTTGCCTTTATGTGTATGTGCTGTGAGAACACGTAAGATCTACTCTCTTAGCAAATTTCAGCTAAGCAATACAGTATTATTAACTAACTTCACCATGCTGTGAGTTAGGTCCCCAGAACTTATTCATCTTATAATTGGAAGTGTATACCCTTTGACCAACATGTCCCCATTCTTCTCACACACCAACCCCTGGCAACCATGGTAAAACTGCTTCTATGAGTTTGACTTGTTTACATTCCACATATAAATACCATCATACAATACTTATCTTTGTATGTCTGGCTTATTTGGCTTAGCAAAACGTCCTTCAGTTTCAACCAGGTTGTCATAAGTGGTGAGATTTCAGAGAAGGTGAATCTTAAACAGTTAAGTAGAAGTTATCCCTATGAAGAAGGACCCACAGACCCTTTGAAGGAAGCAGACTGCTCCTGCAGGATCTGGGAGACACCCCAAATACTGTGAGTGCCCCAACTGCAGAAGTGGGAAAGGGAGAGCCTCCTTCTCTGAACACATGCTGCCACTGGAGAAACTGAAGGTCAGTTTGCAGGTGAATTTTCCAACCTTACCTAGGGCAGAGTCAATTCAGAGAGCCAAGCCAAGCAAAATACAAGGGTAGAGAAAGCAGCAAAAAGTCCCCTGGCACTTGCCAGGTCCCTGATCAGGCCATTCCTGCATGGCAACACAAGGATCCATTGGGAGGGCAGCCAAAGGAGTGGGGCCAGCGAGGTGGTGGCCAGGGAAGCACCACAGGGAGAAGGAAATTTCCAGCCGAACTTTGTAACCATTTAAACAAGGGGAGAAGCCTCCTGACCAGAACTTGAGGGAGAGTACGAATCCAGTGTGCAGACTCCACAGGCAGAAGAAGAAGCAGGCCCTTTTCTTTTGAAGGTGGGAGGCAGGTAGCCTGGGGCAAGTTCTCAAGCCCGGCTTGCCCACCAACTGGAAACAGACTCAGGGCTGTTGAGGGGCACAGTGGGAGTGAGATCAGCCTTCAGTTTGCATAGGAGCTGGGTGAGACCTGTGACGGCCAGCTTTCCCCCAATTCCCTGACAACTGGGATGACTCAGCAGAGGCAGCCATAATCCTCTTAGGT